TGATGCTCTCCCAATCTTTTAGCCATATATATATATCATGGATTATTGATCTTCTCCTTTTGCCTTCAATCTTTCCCAGCATCAGGGTCTTCTCCAAAGAGATCTCTCTTCGCATTAGGTGACCAAAGTATCTGAGCTTGAGCTTCATTAGTGGTACTCATTGCCTATTGAATAAAGGATGGCACTAGCCCAAACATTTTTTCATCTCTCCAACAGGAAAATAGCCTTATGCACGTGCCATTTGCTAAATCAGGAGGAAGCTGTTTCAAAGAATATTGTAGCATGCTGATTGTCCCCCATTCCAAAATTTCTATAATAAGAAAAATGTTGCCCCTTTATAAGTTTGGGAATTTACCCTCCCCATGGCAATGGGGTCTCTTGGCTTATTTTGCTTTAAATCTTAAACAAATAAACAGGTCTAAATTCACAAGGGCTTCTTTGGACAAATTAGAGGTCCAATTTTAGTTTCAGTTCACATTTTGGACAAATTTCAGTACAAATTTGTCAGCTGGTCTATGCTTGAAAGCCAAATGGTCAGAGTTTTGGAAGAAAGCCCCAGGCCAAGTAAGAACTCATGCCAAGACAGCTTTTACTTTTTAAACTGTGGTTTTAGATAAAAGTAGAATGTCAGGCTTCTAAAAGACTAACATGTTCTCAGTGGGGCTTAGTCACATCTAACTTTGGATGATGGCTTAGACTATTTTTTTAATGTCTTCTCCCTCTCCAGCTTTTTGATGGGTGCATACAGAAGGTAAACAGCACATTTTGTATATCGTAGAGCGTTACATCTTACTCCCACTGGACTTAGTGGCAAGGTCCCATTAATTTACTGGGGCAGGATTAAAACTTTACATCCCAACCAAGGATATGTAGAGATGCTGCTGATGTTGCTCTTCTGGGCGTGAGTCCCATGCAATTCGTAATGCAAACTGTAACTGCAGAATGAGAATTACAGCAGTCTTACTCTGAATGGTTCAGAATACCCACTTGATCTACAAAGTGAGTAGGAACAGCTTTACATTCTTCTCTGGCTCAGATTGTAATCTTGAATTCCTCCTTCCTTTCATTTATAGATAGGAACAGCAGTACACTATTGAAAGTGAAGGGAAATCTTCCCTCTTGTTATCTCACATACTCTGTTGCAGCAAATAGCCACTAGGAATTATGGAAACTGCAGTCTAGCACTGTTCGTAGCAAGCATATTCAGGGAGGTTATTTCAGGGGACACACAACGTGATTATTCATGCAAACACTATAATACGAACAAAACATATAAACTAACCATAAGATTAGGGAGTGTTGTAATCTAGAAGGCCATTAAAAAAATTTTTTTAAAAAAATTATTTCCAGATTTACTTGGAAGAATTGCTGCCCTCAATCAATGTTTCCTGCCTTTGCATCCAGTAGTTTTGGTTCACTGGAGGCTTAACCAGAACTGTTCCTTCATGTGTGTTCATCATGACAAGTTTTGAGACAGCTGAGAAAGACGTACTTTTCATATCTATGTAAAAAGAAAAAGAAAAAAAAAGCCAAGCCAGTTTTCCTCTGTTAAAGTTTTAATTTAGCTGCATTTGCACACTAGGTTTTGAAATATTTTTCTGAATTGCTTTATTTTCTATATTTCCTAGGTAAGATGCAGCACTAAGGGTTGGACTGGGTTACATGACTTAAGAACTACTACTAGATACAAACGTATAAGATATTAGCTGAGAGTGCTACAATTGAGTGTATGCTCTTGGACGTGCCGTATTTTCAGTACTCCTCATGGAAAGGGTACTCAGGATGGTCTTTCCACCTGCAAGTTAGAAGTTAGAAATCAGAATTAATAGGGTTGCTTAAAAAAAACCACTGTCATATAACTGTTTCACAAAAAGTATTCGCTATAGCAAATCTAGTATAGGAATGAAAAATACTGCAGCTCTCCCAGAATTGTTAAACTACAACTCCCATACTGCTTACTATGGCCCATGATGCCTCAGGCTATTGGAAGCTGTAGCAGAAAGACCATAGTTTGCACCTCCCATATAATATATTCAGGTGCCCTGCCTGGCCCTTCACCTCCCCTAGAGACCGCTGAAGAAATGAAGATGCTGAGCAGCTTTGCTGAGCAGTGTACTAAAACTCTTAAAGGAAAGGAATAAGTATTACTATTAGTGCTAGAATAGTGCCAGAAGTTGGCAGCACCCAGCTGACCTTGAGGTTAACCCCAAGAAGCTAAGCTGGGTCAGACTGGGTTAGTACTTGGATGAGAGATTTTCAGGAAATACCTCGGCTGTTGGATAGACTGGGAAGTTGAACAAAACATCTTGGAATGAGACAAGGGCAATCCATTTCTATATGATTGATGGAGATGATGGACTCAACTTGAAGACTTTATCATTTGATATTAGTAATAGTATCAATTGCATTTACCCTGCCTTTTCGCTGAGAGCTCTAGGCCCCTAATTATATCTCCACATCACCCATATGAAATAGGTTAGGCTGAGACAGTGGGGGCCTAAAATCACTCAATGAGCTCTGGGAGACTGACTTACTATCTGGAGTTTTACAATCCAGATCTTGTAGCCCTAGGTAAAGTAAGACGCCCGAGGTATTTTTTGGCTACTGAGCCGTATAAGATAATTATACCGCTTTAGCGTTTGCTGACTTAGCCACATATGCTGAGGACTACAGCCATTACTGAATTTTGTTTCAGCTTTATGAACTGCCAAGGGTTTATGGCTTTTTTGGTTTGGCTAGCTGTTTGTTGCCTCTTCTGTGGACTGCCAGGCTTCCAACTTAAGACTGGCTGTCCCTTCTAATTAGGCTGTTGAGAGCTGGAGTCCTCATTGGGTTATGTAAGGACATGGATGTTCTGAGTAGCTTCCAGCAGGCTAGAGCATGGCTTGATGGAGAACAAAACCTAGCCTCTCCTGGTGTCATTTCTTCACATGTGCTATTCTTCTGCAGATTTCTTGGCACTGACTTCAATGTTATCAATCCCGAGGTGAGCACTAGCCTCATCCTATAACCTATTGTGCTCCTAAATCTTTTTTGGAAAACCTACAGACATCCTCCAGCTTCAAGATGAACAGAGTTTCATGGCAGAGACTGTTATGCTGTGGGAAGAGGGGAGAGTCAAGACTATCTAGCTGGCTGAGAATTCTGGGCATTATAATCCAATATATGAAAGGGTCATGGATCTTATTATTATTTATGTTTTGCTATTATATTCCACCTTTCAACTGGGAGCTCAAATACATGAGGGAAGTTCCTCCTGTTTTTAGCTATGGAACCCTGTGGTGCCAATGACATTTCTACGTGCTGAGGTAAGGACTTGAAGAAGAGTGAGGCTACCTTTTAAAGGAAAGCCTATATATAATTCCCATACAACCTTAACCTTTGTTGTACTTGTGAGAGCATGAATATTAGGAGAGCAGTGAATGAACAGACATTGGTTTGTGCCAGTTTTCCACATAGCCAAAGGAATTCTTGGTTTTGGCTATTAGCAACTGCCCAGTGATGTCCTCAGTCTGGGCCTGAGCAAAAGTCTGAAGTTCAAGAGATCCATCCTTCAATTTGATGGCTTTTTAGGATCCTGAATTCTTCACACATTGTGCTAAGCCCTAGTTTTAGTTATGTGTTATACAAAGTACAGTTGGGTGACTTCACATGACATACTAAGCCAAAACCAAACCATTCCCAGTCTGCTTAGAAGTCAGTTATGGCCCCCAACTTTATTTTCTTAAAAAGTGAAAGTGCAGCAGTGAGTATCCCACAAGAACCACAAATTTCCCCTTATTGTCAGTCTTTGGGATCACACAGGGACTTACATTAACAGTTCCACGTAGCGGACATTTTTGTTCAGAGCTTCTATATCTTTCATGTCCTCGTCCGTGAGGGAAAAGTCAAAGATCTTAACAGAAAAAAGAGAAAAAAATCATGGTTATATGACTACTAATTAAACATGGCTTTTAATAATTTTCCAATTTCTAATTCATAAAAGGCAGGGTAGCCTTCAGACTTCTTCACTTATCAGAGGAACCAGAGAACAGGCTTTGTGGGGAATAAAAGTAAGCAATGTGCAGGATTAATAGCAAATTCACAATCAACCTGTCACAGATCATGTATAACTAGGCACAACACTGTTCACTTTCATCAGTTGTAACTCAAGTATTAATCAACCAGATATTAAGGTAATCCAGTGAAAACTTCATTTGTATCCTGCTTTTATATGTTTGTTTATGATTGTTTGTTAGCCACTTTTTAGTCATAGTTCCAGCAGCAGCTTATGGAAAAAAAACACAGTATCAGTAAATTGCAAAAAAGAGATTTAAAAATGCTGGCATCAAACAGGACAAATTTAATTGGCTGTCAGGAAGGAAAGAGGCAATCCCTTGGAAGATTAAAAAAAAAAGAGAGGGGGAGAGGGCATTGTAATTGAGGTGTAAAAGCACTCACATTTATCACATGTTATGTCATCCTGCAAGAGCATGACTGGTCCAAATTTAATCAGCCCAAATCCACCAATCGACACTCTATCTCCAGGGGTATGGAATCTGTGTTCCTTCAGAAGCTCTGAAATTCAACATTCAGCAGTCCTCGCTATTAGCCACCCTACCTGAGACTGCTGGGAACTGTACTTCAGTCACACCTGAGAACTAGAGGTCCCTCACTTGTGCTACTCACCAAACATATTTCCTTTTTAAAAAGGGGCAGCATGTGGCTTTCTGAATGTGGAAAAGACATCTGAATGGAGACGGAAAAAAGATGCCTGACCTTTCACCCTTCTGGTTTGTAATCCAATCTGACTCCTTCCAAATAGGTTGGATTGAAAGCTCCTCAAGAGCCATGCTGGCTGGAAAGGATGGGAGTTGTAGTCTGATATATTTGGAAGGTGCAAGGTTGAAGGCGGCTGCTGGAGCAGAGTGATCTTCATTCTTGGGTTACAGTGGATGAATCACAGCAGCAATATCTCCACCCAGATATAAGCGGAGGTAGAGTAATAGTAATGTCACTTGTAATAGACTCTAAATCTAAAAGACTGAAGACTGAAGTCCATGGGAGAAGTCCACACTATCTGGCTCATTTTGTTTAGTTGGTGAGAATCTACACCAAATTCATTCATTGTGTTACCTGGAAGTTTTCTCTAATACGCTCTGGGTTAAAACTTTTTGGAATGACCACCACTCCACGCTGAATGCCGAAGCGCAGGGCCACCTGGGCTGCTGTCTTGTTGTATTTTTCTCCAATGGCATTTAGCAGGGGATCATCCAGGAGAGGAGGGGAAGACACATTTACCCTTGTTGTAAGAGAGACAGCAAGAAAAGAGACAAACTTTCCTTAGGGGGAAGCTAGATTACAGAAGATAACAATTTGGGGTTGACGGGCTGACACAAGACTACAGCTGTTGTGACCAAGTTTGAAAATCATCAGAAGTACATCCATTACCAAATCAGTATTAGTTCTTGTTCAAACTGAGGCATATTGCTTATGGATGCAGAGTTAGTTCACCGGGAAAATCAAACCATGCTGGCATATGAACAGATGGGTAGAGAGACAACTGAAATACAAAGGTTGTCATTCATAAATCAGGCCAGAAAGCATGATTTCAGCTGCCAGAATAGAGGACAAGTGTTTTTCTGTGTAGCACTGATATTTAATTAAAAATCTTTTCATTCATTTAAAATCTAGAATTCAGGCTAGAATTCAGGCTAGAAACCAGGAGACTGCGAGTTCTAGTCCCGCCTTGGGCATGAAAGCCGGCTGGGTGACTTTGGGCTGGGCACTCTCTCTCAGCGCCATTCACCTCACAGGGTGGTTGTTGTGGGGAAAATAGGAGGAGAAAGGTGTGTGTGTGTGTGCGTGTGTATTTTCCACCATTAAATCATGCATTCCATTTTTAGATAACTGAATTGGCTAAAACGGAAGAATTTAAAACATCTGCAGAAGGCATGATCTTAGAAGAGGCCTACTACCTCTTCTTTCAGACAGTTTAATATAGAAAAGAATGTATCTTCTAAACTGGAGCTGGCTGAGAACAATAATGGAAATAAGGGTCAAGCAGATATGTTTCTTCTCCTGGATGTTTTATATACAGAGTTTATGCTCTGAATTTAAATAGTTTATTTTTCATGTTTTCTATCTTCCTGTGCTGGTTGTTACTTGAAGCATATTGTTTTATTCTTCTATTGTTTTTCAAACAGAAATTTAGTGTCTGGAATAATTACATAATCTCAGCCATTTGGATGAGGATGACCAATACTTCTAATACTGCTTTCTTCGTATGTAAACATATTGAATCAAAATACTGACTATGGCTTTTTTCTATGATTCTATGATTTGACAGAACATGCAAGCAAGATGTGCTGCTTGTGATTGGTGACTGGAATGACAAAATTGGAAACATGAAAGAGGCAAGTGTAGTTGGATTGTATGGCTAACAAAACCAAAATGGAGCAGGAGACCAATTTATTAATTTCTGCCACTCCAATGATTTCTTCATAGCTAGCACTGTCTTCAAACAACTAAAACGATGCCTCTATACATGGACATCACCAGATGGAGTACATAGAAATTACATTGACTATATTATTGTTAAAAGGAGGTGGAGGAGCTCAATTATAGCATCAAAGTCATGGCCATGTGCTGACTGTGGAAGAGATCATGAACTGCTCATGTGCAATCTCCAAGTTAAGCTAAAGAAGAAGAAGAAAGCCAGTCAGTTTCTATGATATGATCTTGAACATATACCCACCATTTTCAAGGAGAACATCAAGAATCGCTTTGAAGTCCTGAACCTCGTTGATAGAGAACCTGAGGAATTATGGAATGAACTTAAAGAAGTTGTTAAGAATAAATGTGAAAAGAGACTGCTAAAAATTAAGAAAGAGAAGAAAGCAAACTGGGTGCCAGAACAAACCATGGAAATTTGCTAAGAAGAGAAGCCTAAGCCAAGAAAGACAAAAATCTCAGAAAGGAACTTAACAGAGAGTTTCAGAGAGCTGTTAGAAGAGACAAGAAGCAGTATTACAACAACATCTGTAAAAACACTGATGATGGAAACTAACATGGAAAAACCAGGAAAGTCTTTCAAAAGATCTCTGAAATCAAAAGGAGGTTCCAACCTCAAATTGGTATGCTAAAGGACACCAATGGACAGATAGTAACTAATTCAAAGGAGTTCAAAGGAGAATGAAAGGAGTATACTGAAACACTATACAGTAGAGATGTTAACATCCAAGATACCTTAGAATATATTCCTTACTTACTAGAAGATGAAGATCAGCACTCCAGTCATTACCATGTCGGAAAGCTACAGGAACTGATGGAATACCCACTGAAATATGGCAAGCAACAGAAGAAAAATCACTCAAGGTTCTAACTGGCAAATCTGGAGAATGACACAGTGGCCAACCGATTAGAAGAGGTCAATCTACATTCCAATACCAAAAAAAAGGAGACTTAACAGAGTGTGCAAACTATCATACAATATCCTTAATTACATACGCTAGCAAAATAATACTTAGGATCATCCAATGCAGATTAGAGCCCTACATGGAAAAAGAGAGCCAGATGTTCAAGCTGGCTTTAGAAAAGGTCGAGGAGCGTGAAACACTATTGCTGATGCATGCTGGATAATGGAGAAAGCCAAAGAATACCAAAAAGAAGTCAGTATGTGCTTCATTGATTATAGAGAAGCCTCTAATTGTGTCGATCACCTCAAGTTGTGGAATATGGTCAGAAAAGTGGGAATTCCAGAACATGTTGTTGTCCTCATGCAAAGCCTATATACAGGTCAGGAAGCCACAATACAGACAGAACATGGCAAAACAGACTGGCTCCAGGTTGGCAAAGGAGTGCGACAAGGCTGCATTTTGTTGTTGTTGTTCAGTCGTTAAGTCGTGTCCGACTCTTCGTGACCCCATGAAC